TTTTTTTTTTTTTTTCAGATTTTTTTTTATTATGTCTCGAATAAAACAGTCTAAAAGGTCGATAAAGTATTTATTCCATCATCTTTCCTCATAAAGTGAACTTTGTGACATGATGTTTTCAGCATCGTGGTGAGACGTCATGATAAACATCAGCTGAGGAAAATACTCAGTTTTCCACCCTGTATTTCTACAGGAGTCTCAAGCATGTGTGTGTGTGTGTGTGTGTGTCTGTGAGTGTTTGTGTGCGTGCGTGTGTGCTCGTGCGTGTGTGTGTGTGTGCGTGCGTGTGTGTGTCTGTGTGTGTGTGGGTGTGTGTGTGCGTGTGTTCTTTATCTGTCAGGAGCATCTGTAATTAAAACATACAGGACGTCCGGCCCGCCCCCACACTCGTCCTGTCCTGCGCTCTGATTGGTCGAGCCAATCAGACCATATTTACTCTTTAATATACAGTTATGTAGATCAATCCCTGTAAATCTTACCCATTAAACACACACATTGACCTTATCATGTGTATTTTAGACCCATGACTCTTTTCCGAAGATTTCCAGATGTTTTCCAGTCCCTGTTTTCCGTATTCCCATGTTTGGAGTCGTCCGTCTCGCTCCGGTTGTTGCTCGCGCGGGTTTCCGCAGGGATTTTCTGACGGATCGGGGGAATTACAGGCGATTCTCTGAACTGAAATCAGTCGGAGAGAGGGAACGAGAGAAAAGGAAAGTTCACGCCGCAGGAGCTCATTACTCTCACTGAATGCTGGGAAATTAATAACTAGAGCTTTGACATGTAGATTCAATTCACTAACATAATCACACATGAGAGGAAAGATTACGCAGCGAAGGAGGGGAAGACGGCGCAGCTGTACAACCAAAAGAAAATATGAAGGAAAAATTTATTTTCAGTGATTTCTGCACCATTTTGGAACATTCTGTGTATGATATTATAAAATATGCACATGTAATAAGCTAAAGCTAAAGTATCATATTTGAGCATATATGTGTTGATTCTTTAAAGAGCCTCTGGCCATTTGGTCAGCTGAAGCGGGATCTAAAATTACAGATTCATACAAAATTATGGTTCATAATCAAGTGTAACGAATCAGTCCACTGAAGGCGAGCATAGTGAAGAACCCAAGTGCAGTTTATTTACAGAGTCAGAAAAGTAAATTCTAAATAATAATAATAATACATTTTAAGTATAAAAGAATAATACATTGTAAGTATAAAGGAATAATAAATATTTATTGTTTAAATTATAAAAATTTGGTATTGTATATTTTTATTATTTATTTTTATATGATCTAAATTGATATAATTACTAATAATATTGCTCTGATTTGAGTGCAATAAATATTTGAGTACACGCCTTAAAAATATATATGTATGTATATATAAAATATAAAATAAAACACTTATTTTAGAGCTCTGTACTTCTACGGTGTTGTGTTACACTTGTGTTACACTATTTTTTGTTTTTATTTCTCCAAAGGAATTACAGGAGAAACATCTGAGACAAAGCCAGTGTTGTTATTGCTAACTAAAAATCATTTTATATAATCAAATGATTAAAAATCATTTTCTAATTGAAATTAAGATTAAATGAAATAAAATTTAAACAGACTGAAAAACGTAAACTTTAAAAAAGTTAGAAAATCAGAAATATTGCATTATTGGCAACTAACTGACATAAGTAAGTTTATTTAAATTACTAAAATGACTAAAACTAAAATAAAATAAAACAAAAAAAGACAAGCAATATATATATATATATATAAGAAATAGAACTATTTTAATAGAACTTGTATTTTAATCAAAAAGTTCAATGTCAAGTTAGAGAAATATTTTCTAAATTGATATAATCAATAATAAATTACAAGATATTTCTCAGTGTAAACTTTGACATGAATATTTATTTTTAATATTAATTTATTATTCTGTATGTGTGTGTGTGTGTGTGTGTGTGAGAGAGAGTGTGTGTTTGTGTGAGTGTGTGTGTGTGTGTGTGTGTGTGTGCAGAGTGACTGTAATACTGTGAATGTGTGTCTCTTAAAGCAGCTCTTTCGCTGATTGTAGCACACAGGTCTGTGTTGGTGTTAGCGAGCCGCAGTATTCAGTGCTGTCAGACAGTAATAGATGAGCGGGGCGTCCCGTCACGTCTGCACAGGAAGATAACACACACTCACAGAGAGAACGGCAAACGCAGAGATAGAAAGGGACGACGCTCAGGTTTCCACTGGTCCAGCTTCTGCTCATCAGATGGGCTACACTTACACTCTACCACATAAATCAGCGCTTTCATTACCTTATCTTGAGTGAGCGGACAGGACTGGATTTATTGCATGCATATTTGTGTGTGTCTGAATTAGTGTAGATGAGTCAGTTTTTCTTAAAGGGGTCATATGATGCGATTTCAATTTTTCCTTTCTCTTTGGAGTGCTACAAGCACGCTTGAGGTATTCGGCCAATCATAACACCGAATAGCTGTGATAGCTGGCCAATCACAGCACACCTTGCTTTTCAGACCGATGAGCTTTGTAAAAATCGACGCGTTTCAGAAAGGCGGGGCATAGAGGAGAAACAATAATGTACAGCATGTGGAAAATAATGTGTTTTTTTAACCTTAAACCACATAAACACATTTCATTACACCAAATACACAAAATAATGTTCTTTTTAGCAACGTCATATGACCCCCTTTAACTCACAAAGAAACAATGAGCGAAATCCGCCTGTTATCATTTCTGTTGAAGCATTGCACATCTGGAGTAACGTGTAGGTCATCTTTAGTTCTTATTTACGTCGTCAGGAGTAACAATAACTGATGATGAACAAATGAGTTTTCATTTTTTGGCTAATCTTTCTTCTTATAGGAACAGCTTACCAAAAAAAAGAAAGTTTTCTCACCCTCCTGCCGTTCAAAACAAGTAAGACTTTAGTTTTTCTGCGAAACACAAAAGAACATACACTGCAAAAATGATTTTGTGTGTTAATTAAGTTTTACACTGAAAAAGAATTGTGGAAAGAATTTTCACTCAAAAATTGCTTGTGAATTGTATGAATAAATACAAAGAAATGACAAGTGACACTGAATTAAATATGAAATTTTGAAGTAAAATAGTATTTTCTTGTAAAATGTACTCCAATAATCTTTCTTTTATTTGCAACATCATACATATTCTTTTACATATAGTGTAAATAAAACAAAAATTATTGTATTATTATACCATTTTAGACTCTGCTTAAAATTTCGCAGTTATTAATGTTGCTGTTTCTTTGTAATTATTTATTAAACTTACAAGCAGTTTCTGAGTGAAATTTGTTTCAAAATTAATTTCTACATGAGTTTTTCCATGTATATTGACCCCAATATAAAACCTTTTAGATATTTAGATAATGGTAATGTTCTTCAAAAAAATGTGTTGACATTTTTAGGTGAACTGTCCCTTTAAATGTACCAGTGGACTGTGGTTTGTTATGATGGAAACCAATCAATAAAACTAATAACAGCAGTGTGTGTTATTTATGTCACAGTCCGTTATTGAACAGCTCAGCTTTCCATTACAATCAATACTGATCAATAAACAATAGCTGCCAATATTACAGTCACCATATGATTACATAGGATCTCTTGAAATCTCAATTGTTTCTCCTAAACATCAGTGACGTTAAATGAAGACTTGCTGTGAGAGATGAGAAAAATACTCCGTTATCTCACATTAGATCTCAAACTGTCTTCAAATTCCTTAAAGAGTTCTATACTCTGACTGGATGACAGCTCACTTTAATCACTTTTTATTTCTTCAAAGAAATTGCATGAGAAGCATCTGAGACAATTCAAAAAATGTTTTTTTCAATTGAAATGAAGCTGAAATAAAACAAAATATAAATATTAGATGGAAAAACTTAAACTTTAAAAAACTTTTAGAAATTCAGGAATGTTGTATTATTGGCAACTAACTGAAATAAGTAAATTTAAAGTACTAAAATTACTAAAACTAAAATAAAAAGAAGTTAAAGCTAAATAGAAATAACTAACAAAAGCTGACAAGCAAAAAAAATACAAAATACAAAAAAAAATTAAAAGTATTAAAATAAAAGCTAATTACAATTATTATTAATAAATATAGATATTAGATGAAAAACTTAAAAAACTTAGAAGATTATAAATGTTGCATTATTGGCAACTAACTGAAATGAGCAAGTTTAATTTTAAAATGTAATTTTAATTTACTAAAATTTCTAAAAATAACTAAAATGAACGAATGAAATAAAAGTATATGTTTAATTTAATAGTTAAATAGAAATAAACAGCAAAAGAAAAAAGCTAGTATAAAAAATTATGGTATAAAAATTAAGCTATTTAAAAGTATTAATAAATACTAAAACAGTATAAAAATAATACTAAAACAACACTGGACAAAGATGATGCTTAAACAAAACAAATGAGAAGACGCTGACAAATCGTATTAATTTATTGTTTTTGTTTAATGTTTTAATGTCTTTTTAACATCACAGTTTAAGTTCATTGTTAAACATGTAAATCAAATGAATTGTCTCTTAATTCTTCATATAAAAATCCCATACAAACATAACAGTGTTATTTTAGTATTATTGAGATACTATTATAGTTTTTATACATTTTTTTTAAACAGTTACATTTCAACAGTTTAAGTTTTTATCATTTTATTTTGTGTTTTTGTCATTTTTAATATATATAGATATATATATATATATATATACTGTACGTGTCTATATGTTTTTATTAATTTTTTTTTAGTTTTAGTTATTTTAGTAGCCTACATCAAGTTAAACAGGATGAAAAGGCGAAATGTTGCCTTGGCAACTTGCTGAAATAAAACGTTTTTCCTATTGTATTTTATTTCAATTAATGTTTGTTATATCAAGTAACAAAAATGTATTTTTTATGATTTTAATTTTAGTTTTAGTTCACTACAAGTAACCCTGACATTCTGACTCTATGTCTGTTTCACACATTTCACATGTGTGTGTGAAGTCAAATGAAAAGCAGTTTGTTGAGCTCACAGTATTTGTGTGTGTGTGTGTGTGTGTGTGTGTGTGTGCAGGCAGTGTGGTGTATCTGGGAATGATGGTGGGCGCGTTCTTCTGGGGCGGTCTGTCAGATAAGGTGGGCCGACGGCAGTGTCTGCTGGTCTGTATGTCAGTCAACGGCTTCTTCGCCTTCCTGTCGTCCTTCGTTCAGGGCTACGGCACCTTCCTCTTCTGCAGGATGCTCTCGGGCTTCGGGTGAGTTCATAGTCCATCCGTCTTCTGCTTTCCTTTACTGAGCTAATGACTGCGGGTTAATTAACTGCTCCGTGAGGAACGATCAGCGATGACGTGTGGGAAAGGTCATTCAGAGCGTCCTAAAGACGAGAGAATAGAGTAAAAACGTAACTAATAGATAGCAGCATACTTACCCAGCTGATTAATCACAGTACATTAAGATAAACATGTTCTGAAATGTTATGTGTAAGTATGCAAATGAGGCATTATCTAATTAAATACGCACTCATTTGCATACATTTAAAGCAGGATTATTATAGTTAACTAAACCGTAAAAAAGCATTTTCCTTACTTGAAATGAAATAGACGTTAAGTGAAATAAAATCAAATATAGAACTTAAACTTATTTTAATTCAGCTTGTTGCCAAGGCACACATTTTCATATTTTCACATTTTCATTTAGTTCAACTTGAAGTACTAAAATAACTGAAACCAAATAAACTAAAATTAATAAATAAAAATGAATAAAAACTAAACGGACATAACGGAATATTTATAAAATGACAAAAACTACAAAATTTTAATAAAATTTTTTAAATTAAAGTGAAAACTGAAAGTCTAAAAATAAAATCTAATTTCAAAATATTAAGAAAAACTGTAATAGTATATCAATGATGCTAAAATAACACTGGAAAAAAGCCAGGCTCAAAATTCATGCGTTGAAATTTACAGATGCATATGTATAAAGTGCAATAAAATAAACACTTAAATGTGTATTTTAGATGTTTTCTTTGCACTAGTCTGAAAGAAGACTTGTTAACATTGAACAGTGTATGAAAAAAAGGCTTTTCCTGTAGTTTCTCGCCTTAAAGGTGAAGCATGTCGTTTCTGCACCATTAAGGGCAAAAAAAGTAAAATGCAAAGTAAAATTAAGCGCCAAAATAAAATGCAGAGCCAGAAGCTGACATGTCAGAGCACTCAAATTGAGCATTTGCTGTCTTTAAATTCTGTTGGGATGAATGTACATGAACCTAAATGCTTTAATGATTATCCATGAGTAGCTCAGGATTTCAGTCAGGAACACTCACAATCAGAGTCAATTAAAGATCAATTTGCATTGGTCATATGAAGTTTACATTTATGCATGCATTTGTTTATGCATGGAATTTTTAAAAGAATTATGCATAAAATATGCATTAAATGTATTAGAATTTTTAACGAATGCATTTTCTGTATTGCAAAAGAATAGCAATAAAGTTACTACCCATTTCCCAGCATTCCCACTTTTTGATTAGGAATTCAAATGTTTGGAGAGCGTCAGTGTTTCACTCTTCAGGGAGTCAAACACAAATAACTGACTTATAGTGACTTTTAACATTAAACTGATAGAAAATCCTAATAGCATTTATAATTTTATGATGGCGGTCATGTGTGCTCAACTCGATTATTTGGGCCAGACTTGAAATCAGCCTTTGATTTCGATGTGAAATTGATGTATGATCTAATGCATAATAAACAAACTACTGTTAGGCAAATGAATGCATCATTTTGACGGTTCCAATATTGCATGTCATGATAAATAAATCTGTTGCAAATTTTTATGTAGACTGATATGCATAAAACGCTGTAAATGATCTTTTTGGATAACCATGCATGTGCTGAACAAATGCTAGCATTGAAATTTTGTTCCTTTGAATGAGTTTTGGATCACTTCAGGACAGCAGGAATATCCCACATCCGACTAGAAACTATAATAAACACAGAACTGAACACACACACTGGGATAGCAGCTCTGAGCGACACACTCGCTCTCTCTGTCTCTCTTCAAGCACTTCTGCAGTGTCACAGTTGTTTTAACCTCCTGGCACAGACCCATAACTTAAGAGCAGAGAGAGCGAGAGCGGGTTTTATTGCTAATTGAATTGCAGCAGTGCAGTGACTCCAGACTGAATCAGCGCCGCAGCACAGTCACTGCAGTCCGTCTCAGACAGAGGGTCAAAGGTCACACCGACCGACAAAAATAGCTAGATGCACCACAAAGGAAGATGTTTTTAAATTCATTTTCAACTGTGCTGAATTTATGTGATCATTTATTTACATTGCTATATTTTTGTTTGTTTAATTTATTCTCTGTTAAGATTATAATTATTGTCTGTTTGGTGGTGCTAGTGATGCTAATACCGATTTTACACACTTCACCCTAAAAAACACAGAGGAATGTGAACATCTCCTGAGAATGCCAAAAAGTTCATTCATTTTTGGTACTTGCTTGTTTTACGTGGTGATAATTAGATTAGATGTATCAATATAAGCAAGCAAATAATGGTTACTATAATAATGAATTATTAATGATTCATTATTATATTTAGGTCAAGATTAAGAATATATTATAAAATGTTATAAATTGATAAAACGTGTTTATAATGTTACAAAAGACTTCTATCTCAAATAAATGATAGATGTGTCTAAATATAAATATAAGAATTATGTAGTCAAAATATTCAATTCTAAATAGATTTTATGATGCTGTTGATTTGATATTATTGATACAAAATAATTTAAATAATTATTTGATTTAAATAATTTCAATTACACATTTGGGGTCCTTAAAAAAAGAAAGAAAGAAAGAGATGGAGAGAGAGAGATAAAGAAAGATGGAGAGAGAGAGAGAAAGAAAGAGATGGAGAGAGAAAGAAAGAAAGAAAGAAATAGAAAGAAAATAAATTAATATACATTTATTAAGAATGCATTGATCAATTGAAAAGACATTTATAATGTTACAAAATATTTATATTTCAAATAAATGCAGTTCTTTTGAACTTTCTATTCATCTGTGAATCCTGAAAAATAAAATGTATCACAGTTTCCACAAAAATATTCGGCAGCACAACTGTTTTCAACATTGATAATAAATGTTTCTTGAGCACCAAGCATATTAGAATGATTTCTGAAGATCATGTGACACTGAAGACTGGAGTAATGATGCTGAAAATTCATATCAAATATAATATGTCATAACTTCTTTGCAGGATTGGCGGTGCGGTTCCCATCGTGTTCTCGTACTTTGCGGAGTTTCTGTCCCGTGAGAAGCGCGGGGAACACCTGAGCTGGCTCTGCATGTTCTGGATGGTGGGCGGGATCTATGCCTCAGCCATGGCCTGGGCCATCATTCCACACTACGGTGAGTGACAGCTCCGCTTAGCACCCAGTGACTGAGCAGAAACAGTGATCAGTCAGACTCCTTTACACTGACATCATTTCACAGTCATAAACCACGGCGGCTATAGCTTAGTTTGCATTTATGAATAAATAAATCATTATATACTGTACTTGTGCATGCAGAATGCACATATAAAATAGATTTTTGGAGCTTTTTGGTAGTGTTTTATTGCAAAGGTGCAATGTGTGTGTTTTTTTTTTGGTTGCTAGGGTGTTCTGAGAGGTTGCTAAGTGGTATTGTGCTGTAAATAATTTTAAATAACATACATTTAATTAATGCATGAGATTCTGTTATCCTACCAGTGTCACACATCAACAATATTACACATCGACACTGAACTCAATTCAATTTGTTCATTATTGATACTTATTTTAGATCAAGAAATAATTAAGAATAAAGAAAGAAAGAAAATATATATAAATATGAAGAGTTAATTTGCAAAAACAGATAACTCAGTTTTGAACAATTTTCAAAAATCATGTTTTTTCATTGTGCATTCCAATTAATCAAACTGATATTTTGATTAGGTAAAAAATAACTAACAAATACAGCTAACTAACACAATAAAACACAATAAAAACAAAAATAAATTTATTTATAATATAATAAATATATGATTTTTGAACATTTACATTTTGACAGTTATCTGATTTTGCAAATAAACTCTTCATATATTTATGTATATTTATATGTTTATGTAAATATATATTTCTGTATGTGTACATATAATGTCAATATATTATAAAATTGTGTGTGTGTGTATATATATAACGTGTATACACACGCATTTACAGATATAAATAATGTGAGTGTATTTATATGTATACATATATATGTATGTTTTCTTGATCTAAAAAACTATATATATAAATTATTAAATTTTTGTATTACTTATGATATAGCTTTTTAAAGAAAATATTAAGAATATATTATATATAAATAATGTACATTTTAATTATTATTATAAATAATGTAATTACATTATATTTTATTACATTTAGTAAAATATTTACATTATATCCACAAATATATTATTATATTATTTATAATAATATAATATAATATAATATAGTTTGGGGTCAGCGGTTGCTGAGTGGATTCTAGATGGTTTCTTCCTGTAAATAATTTTCAGTAATATGTATTTTAATAACGCATGAGATTCTGCTATCCTGCTAGCAGATAATATTACACATCGACACCAAACATGATGCAGTTTGTGCAGAATGAGACAAATGTTTGTGCTGATTTCACATAACTGATCCTGCGGGAGCCTCTGTGTCCTTCATCATCTCATTATGAGCGGATGATGGCTGATTTTCGGTGGGAGAGTGTAAACAGGAGCAGAAATAACGGCGCTGCAGCTCTTCTGCGAGATACTGTGCTGTAATTGAGGTCAATTGATTAGCGTCTCTTGTGTTAGCAGTGTTTTTTGTGGTCAGGAGGCAGCGGCGTGTGGCCAAACGGTTCTGCCGCAATGACTCCATCACTGCAGGAGCACGGCGAGAGGCAGGTGAAGGACTTTAGCGCCCGTGAAACCGCTTAA